GGGCCTTAGGAAGCATCACTACAAAGCTAGAGGAGGTGATGGAACTCCAGCTGAGCTATTTCAGTCCCTAAGAGATGATACTGTTAAAGTGCTACACTTAATATGCCAGCAAACTTGGAAAACTGAGCAGTGGCTCAGTGGAAAAGGTCAGTTTTCGTTCTACTCCCACAGAAAGGAAGTACTAGAGAATGTTCAAACTACAGTACAATTGCACTTACTTCCCATGCTGGCAAGGTCATGCCTTTTCTGAATTTTCATTATTATAAATAATTCTTTTAGATAAATATCCATGTTCATATGATTGTATAAGTTAAGTATTAATTGAAAGAATTATTTTATTAGAATAAATCTCTAGCAATGATTTTTTTCATTAAAGATACATACATTTCAAACTGTGGTGTTAGAGAAGACTATTGAGAGTCCCTTGGACTAGAGATCAAGCTAGTCAATCTTAAAGGAAATCAATCCTGAATATTCATTGGAGGGACTGATGCTAAAACTGAAATTCCAATACTTTGGCCACTTGATGCAAAGAGCCAACTCACTAGAAAAGGCCCTGATGCTGGCAAAGATTGAAGGAAGGAGGAGAAGGAGACGACAGAGGATGAGATGGTTGGATGGCATCACCTAGTCAATGGATATAAGCTTGAGCAGGCTCTGGGAGATGGTGAAGCTCAGGGAGGCCTGGCATGCTGCAGTGTGTGGGGTCACAAAGAGCGGACACGACTGAGTATCTGAACAACAATATACATTTTAAAGGACTTAAATAGTTTAACAAATTATACTCCATAAAAGTTTTACTTATTTATTCTAGTGTTTGTAGTAGACTAAATAATAGTCCCCAAAGGTATCAAGTCCTAATCCCTGGAACCCATAGTAATACTATATTTGGTAAAGCGGTTTTTGCAGATGTGATTTAATAAAGGTCCTGAGGTGGAGAGATTGTCCCAAATTATCCAGATGGATCATAAATGCAATCACAGGTGTTGGAAACCTTCTTGCAAATGCATTTTTGTGTATTAATGTTCTTATTAGGGAAGATTCTGAGGTATAGGATTGCTAGGGCAAAGACTTTAGATTTTTTTTTTAAATCAATAATGGCTCCAATTTTATTGGTTCAGTCATTCAAATTTTTCAAAAATTTATTGAAATATTGTTGATTTACAAGGTATTTTAGTTTATATAAGTGCTGCTAGACTGTTTAAAAAAAGCTACCAATTTATATTTTCATCAACAATGAGAAATAAATCCATTTTCCTCTCATCTTTGCCATTTCACTAGATAGAAAATAACATTTTATTGATTATTGTTTTCTCTTATTTTGAATGAGGTTTAGCATCTTTTTATATGTTTGTGGCCTTTTGGGTTTGCTCTGCATAAACTATCTTTCTATATTTCTTGCCCATTTTTCTATTGGGATATTTATCTTTTCCTATTAATTTAGAAAGATCTCTGTTATAGATATTAACCTTCCATTTCTCATTTCTGTTGCCATTGTATCCTCACATCTCTCTGTATATTTTTGTGGACTCTGTTTATGTTATCTTTTTGAATAAAAATGTTTAACAGTTATCTATGGTGCAGGTTCACCTATCCTTCTATTGTTAGTAGCTCAGTCATGGCCAACTCTTTGCAACCCCATGGACTATAGCCCTCCAGTCCATGGGATTCTCCAGGCAAGAATACTGGAGTGAGTAGCCATTTCCTTCTCCAAGGGATCTTCTGGACCCAGTCTGCTGCATTGCAGGAGGACTCTTTAGTGTCTCAGCCACCAGGGTAGCCCACATTTTTTTGGCCATCCTTCGTGGCTTGTGAGATATTCGTTCCCCACCAGGGATTGAACCCATGCCCTTGGTGGTGAAAGCAGAGCCTTAATCCCTGGACCAACAAGGAATTCCCCTATCCTTTTATTATTGCTGGGTTTTCTGTCTCTATTATTAACCCTCTAGATTAAATATGTAGTCTCCTAGATTTATTGCATCTTATTTTTCTGTATTTTAGTTTTTATATGAATCTTATTTTTATTTAAGTTGCAATAAATAAATTGAGAAGTCCTCCTGCATTTACTTCCAGATGTATAGCCAGTTAGGTCTGTACCATTTAAACCTTCCATTATTTCCTTGCTAAACTGAAACAATTTCTTATATGTATTTAATCCTCTCTAAATATAGAGAGATCAGGTTGTGGATGCTCGATCTGTTACACTAATCTCCCAGTGAATATTTCAGCACTGCTATGATACTATTTTGATTTTGATAGACTGGAAGTAAGCTCTAATATGTGGTCAGACATGTCATCTCTTCTTCATATTTTTCTTAGTTTCTTTTGGAGTTTTAAAAAATTTTTTCTTTCAAGATTTAAAAAAAAATAATTGTTTTGTTCCCTTAGGTCTTAGTTGAGGCACTGGAGAACTTCGTTAGGTCATTTGGGATCTTTCTTTGAGGCGTAGGGACTGCGGAGCACGCAGGCGCGATAGCTGTAGCTCGGACTTAGTTGCTCCACAGCATTTGGGATCTTGTTTCCCCACCAAGGATCAAACTCACACCCTCTGCATTGCAATGTGGACTCTTAACCACTGGACCACCAGAGAAGTCCCTGAACTTTTTTTTTTCCTCCCTTCTTAGGTCTAAGGGAGAAGAGGGCATAGAGGGTAAGATGATCGGATAGCATCACTGACTCAATGAACATGTGTGTGAGCGAACTCTGGGAGACGGTGAAGGACCGGGAAGCCTGGCGTGCTCCAGTCCATGGGGTCGCAAAGTGTCAGACGCCACTGAGCGACTGAACAACAACAAACTTAAGGTAAGTGAATCTAATTAAAAAAGCCCTCTCATCTCAGTTTCAACTGCATTCAATTTATATATTAATTTTTGGAGTTTGTTGGTAGTTCTGTCTTCTCATTCAAGCACATGACTCTCCATTTATTCAGAGATATTGACGTCCGTGTAATTTATATGATATCAAGCTCTTTGCTAAATGTTTCATTAATTTTAGTAGTAGTTTGCTAGACTTTCTTAGGTTTATAAGGCAGACAAGCCTATAATGAACCAAAACAGGTGTCATTTCCTTTTCCCCCATATTTATATCTATTATTTTATTTTCTTGCTGTGTTGTATTCTCTTAAATCTTCAAGTTAATTTTAAATACTAAATATAATAACAGGCAGTTCAGTCTAGCTACCAACTTTAATTAAAGTGGGTTTAGTGTTGCATAATTTAGGATAATATTTTTCCGTCACTGAAAAATAACCTTTATTATGATTTAGCTTTTGTGTTACCAATGGCAGCTTAATTTTCTCTTAGGCTCTTTTAGTAAATATTGGTATGATCATGGTGTTTTCCCCCTCTAATTTAATGGTGTGATGAACTATAATTACAGATTTTTTTATCTTCAGTCACTGTTGCATTCCTAGTATATACCTTAGTTGGTTACAGGTTATTGTTATCGTTAAGTTCCAGTGTTGAACTCAGTGCTAATATGTTCTTTTACATTTTCATCTTTACTTATGTATTGTATTGGTTTACAGTTTTCTATTTAGAATTGCACTCAGGTATTTAATAACATGAACTGAGGAAATGTTCTTTTGAGAAATGTTCTTTATCCTATGATCTGTAATAGTTTATACCACACTGGAATAAACTCTGCTATATCTAGTTATGCTTAGCTGTGAACCTGTCTAGTCCTGGTAACTTTTCAGTATCATTTTAATTGTAAATTTGATTTCCTTTATGATTTTTTTTTGCTATGATGTTATTTCATACCTTCAAATAAAGGTATTTTATGTTCCTAGTGTACATTTTTCTGTGTCTAATGGATTTGGAGTATAAAGAGTTCTCCTTTTCATTGCTTTCTAGATAATTTTTTCCTTACTTTTGATTTCTTATTAGACTTGAGAGTTATATATAGGTCTGTGCATCTTAATTTCCACATGATGAATATTACTTTACTCTCTTCTTCCTATTTTATTTCCAGTAGTATTTGGTTTTGGTCAGAGAGGGTAGCTTGCACAAATTCTAATTTTAAAACATCAATTAAAAATATTTTGTAAGGGACTTCCCTGGTGATCCAATGGTTAAGAATTTGCATTTCCACTGCAGGGGGCACAGGTTTAATCCCTGATCAGGGAACTAAGATCCCACATTCTCATGCAATGTGGCCATATTTTTTTGTTGTTGTTTTTCTGAAAGGTTTTGTTAATCAAGTGGCATCAAATTTTGTGAATGCAGGTATTTATTAATCAAATATTTATGAAACTCAGCTTTGTTCCAGGCTCTTTTTTTGGTCTGGAAATATAGTAGTGACCAGTACAAATATATATATATATATACACACACACACACACACACACACACACCTTGCTTTGTAAAGTTTACATTTTAGTGAAATGACAATGTTCCGTTGAGAAATGCATACATAACCAAGTTTATTTATTGTTTCGTTCAATTCCTCTGTGTTCATGATTTTTTTTTTTTTTTGGTTTATCAGATATGTTTAACTGTTAAAGTTTCCACTATTAGTCTTGCTTATCAAACTCTGCTTCATTTGTCATATTTTTTATCTATTCTAGATGCTTTTTTTGATGTTGATAGCTTTATAACTGTTGAATCCCTTCATTAGCTGTACCTTTGATAGCTACAGTTTATCCTCTATATTAAATTACTGTCCTGCTCCCACAGGATGGCCGGCCACATCAGCTAGCGCTCGCTCTACTCTCTCTAACGGGGAAACAGCGGATACAAGAGACTGAGCTGTATCTGCCTCTATTTCCAACAGACTCACGTTCAACTTTCGCTCACCCACACACACAAAGCCGGGAAAATTTTATTAATCCTTTTTTTTTAAAAAAGTTAATATAAAATTATAGCAAAAAAAAAAAAAAAAGGAACATGAACTTTAGTAACACAGCTGGAACAATCCGCAGCGGCGGCGGCGGCGGCGGGAGAAGAGATTTAATTTAGTTGATTTTCTGTGGTTGTTGGTTGTTCGCTAGTCTCACGGTGATGGAAGCTGCACATTTTTTCGAAGGGACCGAGAAACTGCTGGAGGTTTGGTTCTCCAGGAAGCAACCCGACGCAAACCAAGGATCTGGGGATCTTCGCACCATCCCAAGATCCGAGTGGGACATACTTTTGAAGGATGTGCAATGTTTAATCATAAGTGTGACAAAAACTGACAAGCAGGAAGCTTATGTACTCAGTGAGAGTAGCATGTTTGTCTCCAAGAGACGTTTCATTTTGAAGACATGTGGTACCACCCTCTTGCTGAAAGCACTGGTTCCCCTGTTGAAACTTGCTAGGGATTACAGTGGGTTTGACTCAATTCAAAGCTTCTTTTATTCTCGTAAGAATTTCATGAAGCCTTCTCACCAAGGGTACTCACACCGGAATTTCCAGGAAGAAATAGAGTTCCTTAATGCAATTTTCCCAAATGGAGCAGCATATTGTATGGGACGCATGAATTCTGACTGTTGTTACTTGTATACTTTGGATTTCCCAGAGAGTAGGGTTATCAATCAGCCAGATCAAACCCTGGAAATTCTGATGAGTGAGCTTGACCCAGCAGTTATGGACCAGTTCTACATGAAAGATGGTGTTACTGCAAAGGATGTCACTCGTGAAAGTGGAATTTGTGACCTGATACCAGGTTCTGTCATTGATGCCACAATGTTCAATCCTTGTGGGTATTCAATGAATGGGATGAAATCGGATGGAACTTATTGGACTATTCACATCACTCCAGAACCAGAATTTTCTTATGTTAGCTTTGAAACAAACTTAAGTCAGACCTCCTATGATGACCTGATCAGGAAAGTTGTAGAAGTCTTCAAGCCAGGAAAATTTGTGACCACCCTGTTTGTAAATCAGAGTTCTAAATGTCGCACAGTGCTTTCCTCGCCCCAGAAGATTGAAGGTTTTAAACGTCTTGATTGCCAGAGTGCTTTGTTCAATGATTACAATTTTGTTTTTACCAGTTTTGCTAAGAAGCAGCAACAACAGCAGAGTTGATTAAGAAACATGAAGAAAAAACGCAAAAAGAGAACACACATAGAAGAAGGTGGTGGCTGCTTTTTAGATATTGATACCAAGGGCCATGCTTTCCATAACCGCCACCTTGTAGTTGCAGAAAGCCCTAGATGTAATGATAGTGTAATCATTTTGAATTGTATGCATTATTATATCAAGGAGTTAGATATCTTGCATGAATGCTCTCTTCTGTGTTTAGGTATCCTATGCCACTCTTGCTGTGAAATTGAAGTGCATGTAGAAAAAACCTTTTACTATATGAAACTTTACAACACTTGTGAAAACAATTCAATTTGGTTTACACACAGTGTAATATTTCTCCAGGTGTCATCCAAAATTCCCCACAGGCAAGGCTTTCGTCCTCATTAGGTGTTGGCCTCAGCCTAGCCATCTGGGACTGTTCTATTAATTGCTGCCAGGATTTTACATCCAGTTACCTCCACTTTCTAGAACCTATTCTCTACTAATGTTACTGAAACCAATTTCTACTTCATACAGATGTTTTTGCAACAGCAATTAAAGTTTTTCTCCCACGAGTAGAGTCCTCTAAGAAAACAACTGGAACTCTCCACTCTGTGTCTTTATATTTTAACACTGCTTCCTGTACCTGTGTTCCTTTGAGTCCTTCCGTTACCATGGTGTCTGCCCTCCCAACCATACCCCCTCAATAAAGCAATACACTGTTACACTGTGGGTTTTATACTAATCTATACCCCAGAGGGGTAAGGCGGGGGTAGACCCTGGGCTTAATTTTCTTTTAAGGTCAAGGGAGTTTGACATTTTTCATTACCATGAGCTCTTTTGGAATAAACTATTGTTGATTAGCAAAGAAGGTGTATATTGGTACAAGGGTATATTGGCAGAACTGTATGGAAACTGTGCCAGTTGGTGTCCCCCATTAAATGAGATGAGCTTCTTGTAAAAAAAAAAAAAATTACTGTCCTTTAATACTTACATTGCCGCTGTTGTTTGCTTACATTGCTCTAACATAAAGGGGTTTTCAACACTAACTGTTTTATTTTAGTTGAATGAGTGCAGTTGGATTTTGTTTTTTACCCTAAAAGGACAGTCTGTCTCTCTTTTAATGTGAAAATTCAGTTCTCTCCCACCTAACATTATGACTATATAGTTGATCTTATTTCTTTCATGTATTTACTTTGCTGTCTGGATTCTCTGGCTCAGCATAAAGGTTTTGCGAGTCACCCATGTCATTATGTGTGTTAGTAGTTTGCTCCTTCTCTGTTTCTGAATAATATTCCGTTGTTTGAGTATACCGTAGTTTAATTAGCCATTCATCTGGCGATGGACATTTGGGTTGTTTCCAGGTTTTGACTATTACGAGTAGAGTTGTCATAAACATGCATTCAGGTCTTTGTGTGGACCTCTCTTTTTATTTTTGTTGAATAAATATCTAGGAGTAGAATGGCTGGCTCATATAGAAATGAAACTTAAACTTTATAAGAAACAGCCAATCTAAGTTCCAAAGTTATTGAATCATTTTGCATTCCCAATAGCACTGTTGAGAATTCCTATTGCTCTGTATCCTCATCAGCACTTGGTAATATCAGGCTTTTAAATTTAAGTCACTCTAATGGATGTGAAGTGGTATCTCAATATAGTTTTAGTTTTCATTGCCCTAGTAACTCGTGAAGTTGAGCTTCTCATGTGCTCATTACCTTTTAGTGTATCTTCTTTGTGGAGCTTCTGTTAAATCTTTGCCTCTTATTTTTATTGGTTTGTTGGCTTCTTTTTATTGAAATGTAATAATCACTACTTTATTTAATTGTAAAAAATGGTTCTTTTATTTAATTGTAAAAAAAGAAAAGACTCTGAATACAAGTCCTATGTCTGTGCATGTGATGTGTGTGTGTGTGTGTGTGTGTGTGTGTAAGTATATACCAGTGTACAATAAACTATAGTCAATGTCAAAATAAATAAAATAATATGTAACTTTAATATATTAAGTTTTTAAGATACCAACCCAACACCTGTTTGGAATTCTTTTTTTTTTTTTTTTAAAGAATTTCTGTGTCAGGACAAAAGATTATATGAGGCACAGCAATGTAATGCTTTAACTCCAGATAGCAAGTTACCATGAAATACTTGTTTATGTCTACATATTTTGTAATTCACTGTGCATTAATATATCCATTCCTGGTGGCTCAGTAGTGGTAAAGAATCTGTCTGCAATGCAGGAGGCCTTAGTTCAGTCCCTGATTTGGGAAGATCCCCGGTGAAGGGAATGGCAACCCACTCCAGTATTTTTGCCTGGATAATCCCCATGGACAGAAGAACGTGATGGACTGCATTCCATGGGGTTGCAAAGAGTAGGACGTGACTGAACGACTAAAGAGAGAGAGAGTACAGAAGTATTATTGCAAATTCTTTACTTTTCCAGTTAAAATATTAACTCTCTACTGGATACAAACAAAACAGTTTAATTCTCCTTGGCACATGTCCTTCCATTCCCTTTGGCTGGCTAAACACATGTAGCATGCTGAACACAGTACACCTCTAGACATTACATGTTCCATCACAATTCACACTGTTATTAATAGTCCCTCTCTCAGCTCCTCGGTTAAACTGATCCAGAATTACCCTTATTATTTCCATTTAATGTGACCTTCTAAATTCTCACAAAGATGAAGTTATATGTAAGAGGTTTAAAAAGATGTATTTATCATTTTAGCTTTTTGGGGGCAATAGGAAGATCTGTTTTACCAACAGTTATTTAATTCCATCACATTATCTCCTTTATCTGTGATAAGAGCAACAGTGCATGCCCCTGTGCTCAGCTCAGCTTGTGAGCTGCGTCCTTCTCCTTCCTTATTTCTCCTCCAAGCTCTGCTTCCTATGCTTGCCTAGTGCACAAATACCAGAAGCCAACCTTTCCATCTTCTTTGAATGAGGAAATATTATCACAACCAGGATATTGTTGAAAATTAAATTTAACAAATAAAAGTGTAGTGAAATTTTAAATACAAATCACATGCATCTGCAGGATTTGCTTTTAACTGCACACCTTCTAAGAAATTATATTTTTGCTCCCAGCAAATTACCTAGGAGTGAAAAAAATGACAAGAGTAATCTATTTTTTCACAGCTGGTCGGTTGGCCAGAGTTTCTCATCAAGGAGTACATGCTGTTTGCTCCCCAGATGGACAGCCTGGATGAGCTACAAATCCACAGGGCCTGGGACACAAGGTGGAAATTATACTGCCAGCGCTTTTAATCTTGCGCAGCTCTGCACACTCGAAATTGCAAGTGGCCCATTTCCAAACGAACATCTATTGGGACAATATCCTATATCTTGTCAGGATGAGTCCCATTAAATCCTCAGCTGGAATTAAACCAAAAACTTGTAATAATTATGGGAAACTTATTAAAAAGCTAAAGCCCTAGACTGTGACAGTGAAAACACTTAGGCAACATTAACAGTAATTGAAATCTCTGTGAGTTTTTCTTTTCAATCAGTCCTTGTTGATGGCCAAACAAAGAACACCCAAATGGGAAGGTGTGAAACCAAAACACCCAGCTTCTAAGGGGGTAAAATCTCTTTCATCTCATTACAAAATGCAGCAAGACAGCAATGGTGGATTGTTTACCTGGGGGCCAAGGTGGCAGCCAAACTACTGCCCAAGGTTCCCATAATGAGCTTGGGTCTCGCTTCTGCCCACCATTAGGACTGCCGGCTTACTGGACCTCTCCAGAATGTCGAGGGACCTCTTCTCTCTCTCTCCTCTGCCGTTCCACCATCAAAATGCATTGCTTCCCCTAGTAAGTCCTGAGCATTAAAAGAGTATTAAAGAAATAGTTTTGAAACCTGGCTTAGTAAAGATCTTGCTAGTAAATTTAGGGCTTTGTTTCAAAAGTAGGAACTATTAAAATAATCTTTTCTGTACTTCACAAGGATGATTCTATTTTCAATTTCACCTCAGATAGGAGACCATAAAAGAAACTTCATTAGGCTAGGAAACTTTTCCAGCTCGTTTTTCCAATTCCTTTTTCAGTTTGCTTTTCAGTAGTTTTTAAATTGAGCAAATAGTACACCTGATGATAGGGTCTCCCTGATGGCTTAGTGGTAAAGAATCTGCCTGCCAATGCAGGAGACTTGGGTTCCATCCCTGGGTTGAGAAGATCCCCTGGAGAAAGAATGGCAGCCCACTCCAGTACTCTTGCCTGGGAAATCCCATGGACGGAACCCCCCGGTGGACTGCAGTCCACACAGTCGCAAAAGAGCTGGATATGACTTAGCGACTGAAACAACAGCAGCAGCACCTGATGATATTTGGCTATTTAACTCTGTATTCCTGGGGGTGATTCATAGGCAACTTTAGTTGTGTTTTCTTTTGACTTTCACAGCTCAGGATGCCTTGAATAGATAATTTGGACTCTTGAGAGAGAAACAGCAGAGGAAAAAAAAAATCCCTTATCTTGGACTCATTGCAAGTCAGGACATTCTCAATGGCAAAACTGATTTGCAGAATGTATCTAATGAATGTAATCCTATCCCTTTTTTATTGATGTTCTGATGCTTAACCAAGTGCCCCAAGGAGAAGGCCAAACCTCTGCTGGAATGCCGGTTTGGGCTGTGGACTCCAGATGACAAGATTGTTGTTGTTTAGTTGCTCAGTTGTGTCTGACTCTTTGCGACCCCATGAACTGCAGCATGGCAGGCTTCTCTGTCCTTCATTATCTCCCTGAGTTTGCTCAAACCCATGTCCACTGAGTCAGTGCTGCCATCCAACCATCTCATCCTCTGCTGCCCCCTTTTCCTCTTGCCCTCAATCTTTCCCAGATCAGGGTCTTTTTCAAAGAGTCAGCTCTTCACATCTGATGACAGGATTAGCAGTAACCAATTGGAATGACCAGGGTACCATACAAGAATGGTGAGAGATTAAAAATCAGATTGTGTGTGTGCAAGGATCAAAAGAGATCACTGTGAGGTGTCTTGATGTGGGAAAGACTTATGGGTATGCTGCACGGACTGAGGTGTGACCCAAGGGTGAAAAGAAGAGTCACAAGGTAGACTGTCATCTTAGAATGAGGAAAATCATGCTGTCAAAGATGAGTATTTTCCATTTCTGTGGTCCAGGAAGTCTGGGCAGCCAATAGTTGGAATTATTGTGGAAGAGACTTACTCAGGTTTGGATAATTGAAGTAACTCACTGTAGGTCTTAGAAGAGAAGAAATGGAGTAGCCATCATAGTCAACAAGAGTCCGAAATGCAGTACTTGGATGCAATCTCAAAAATGACAGAATGATCTCTGTTCGTTTCCAAGGCAAACCATTCAATATCACAGTAATCCGAGTCTATGCCCCAATCAGTAAAGCTGAAATTGAACGGTTCTATGAAGACCTACAAGACCT